GGGCAACACGGCATTCGAGCGGGTGGATGGGATAGCATAGCCCTGCCGGGGATAAGCCGACTCTTTTGTACTCTGGCGTGGCATGGCGCTCGGTCTCTGAAAGTGCAAAGTCACCTCCCGCGCCATGCACCCCCTGCCCTGCAAGCGCGGCAGGCCCCGCCGCGGCGGCCGCCGGCGTGGCGAGGCGGCCAGCTCAAATAAGATTTGTCCACTCAGCGGGGGAGGCGGCCGCCCCGCTCTGTTCCGCTCTGCCCCGTACAAACACGGGCCGTAGGCTGCGGCCGGAGAATAATGTATAGTGGGAGTGCCGGGCCCGGCGCGCCGCGGCGTGGTGGTGGTGGCGTGGGGATTACCTCGTCGGCCAGCAACTCATTCCCGCCTCGGGACCAATGACGGATGTACAACAAGGAGGGGCAACAATAACGAGTGACGCCTGGAGAAGCTTTATTATGCACCCCCCAGCTAAATATTGGCGACTTGATAAAGCCTTCCGGTAATGCGGGGACAACAAAACGGAAATCACCACGCTTTAACATGTTGACTTCCGTTTTCTTGTTCCCCGCATTCTTCTGCATTTCAGCTTTACCGGAATGCTTTCTTGGCCGTGGCCGCGCTGCCGCCGCTGCACGTCGCCGCCGAAGCGCGGGCGAGGGCGAGCAGATCGTCCACCCGGGTAAATGCTGCACACACGCCCGCGCAAAGCAAGCGGCGCAGCCTTACGCAAGCCAGGCGGGCCCAAATAACTACCCCCACCACCCTCTCTCCTTTCTCCTCCTCTGTGTTAAAGAACGCGTCCCAATGTCGCCCCCTCCCGCCCCCTTCCCCGCCGCGTTTAGCGCTGACATTTGGGAACGACATGAGCGGCGTTAGTGTTATGTTACGAGGCACCGCGGAGCGCGGCGGAGTGGAGCAACACCACCGTCCCCCCTCGCGACTCCGTCCCCATGAGCTGGCCTGGCAGGGCCGAGTGAGCCCAGACCGAATAAGGAACCGAAAGAAGAAAAGCACCACGGCTTGATCTGTTTCCTTCTGAACGCGGATAGGCCGACGATGACGTCGGTGTGGTGGACAAACAATGAGCGCTCAGGAGTATTTCGAATAAGTCACCTAACCTAAGATAATGTAACCAGCTTTTGTTATTATTTTTCGACCCACGAAATAACCTCAAAGGTTTTTTTCCCAGACGTTATTGGACATCAAAAGGTACATCTATTCTGAAAACTAAAAGAAGCTACACATAGCCCTGTAACAAGCTTCCCTGCACTGCACGTAGTACACAGTTTCTCTCATTCACTGGCGCGCGCGCACGCGCACACTGTCGGCTCAACTCACAACCTTTTCTATGAACGTCGAAATCCTCCGGCGCTTCGTAGGGACGCGCGTCCTCACTGCGGGGACGGGCGCAGAGTTCCGCCGGCGCTTTAGTATTTTCACGACGTTCATCCTGTTGTGATGACCGTCGCCGCACCACGCCCGATAGCAGACGCCACCGCCGCTCCGACTGTTGTCCCACCAGCGGGCCTGTGTTGTTTGTTGTTGTCGTCTGCCACCTTCCTCCTATCCCCCCTCCCTCCCACGGGCCGAGCCTGAGGGCGGCGGCGAAACTCCGTGAGGAGGCTGGGGAAGCAAATCTTCTTCTCCGTGACCCGAAGTTCGAACTGACAAAATGGCAAACCTCTCGAAAAATTGCGGTCCCTCGCCCACGCCTGCCATGTTCTGCAGGGCGAGTACGCATCACATAGGGAGCCTGGAGCCCCCCCC